TGTTACTCAAGGAACTTTGGTTTGCTTCTCTTTGGATACTATAAAGTATCAAGGAAGGTAAAGTACTTTTGGATACTATAAAGCATCAAAGAGGGTAAAGTACTTTTGGATACTATAAAGTATCAAGGAGGGTAAAGTACTTTTGGATACTATAAAGTATCAAGGAGGGTAAAGTACTTTTGGATACTATAAAGTATCAAGGAGGGTAAAGTACTTTTGGATACTATAAAGTATCAAGTATATTTCATTTGTGAGAAGAAAATATACTTGACAGTAGAGTAGTTTGGCTAGAACAGTGTTTTCCAATGTGTGACATACGCCCCACAGGAGGAAGGGGGAACAATTTGAAGATAATGGGGGTGCATTTACAGCTGTTTTCTCCAATAATGGCTAATCAAATAACTAACATTTGTAGCAGACATCAAGCACAAGGATTGCATTGATATTAATTTTATTTTACAGATTTGAGTTAAGTTGTGTTTTGGATGCCTCAAGCTTGATGTCATTTATTATTAGTTGTCAATTATTCTAACAAATATATTTTATTTATTGTCATTTACTGTCATTGTATCATCATTTGTTGTTATTTATCATACTGTATTTCAATACAAATATATTTTACTTATTGTAATTCAAATCATGCATTTTATTGCATTCTTTCATACAAGTTTGAATTTCATGGCTTAAATAGGCCTCAGAATTTAAACTCAATTCTCCTGATAGCATCATGGAAACCATCTTTTAGCTCCTTAACCAAAGGGAACATTAAACCTTTTTAGGTGCTCAGGTGGGGCATGGCTAAAAAAAACAGCATTAAATGTAATTAAACGCTATTTTCTGGTTGAGCCCCGGAGACTCCCTGAAGCTATCCGAATTGATATGTGCTATACTGTATAAGTTTGGGGAAATCAGTCACAGGAGTTCTTATGCCTACCGGGGAACCACGAGCCAGAACCTGGTCTCCTTAGAGAGGCTCAGGGAGTAGTGGCCTATGAGCACTTTACAATTAAAATGTCATAATTGCTATCAACCGGGGAAGGACCCAGAAAGGTAGTTGAATCAAAACAGACCACTGTCTGGTTAGCCTGTGCAATCAACATCCAACAATATCAAAATAACTCCCCTAGAAAGAAACCAAACAAGCAACCCTTCATACGACTAACACTTCCGCTCGTTAGCATTAACCCCTCGTTAGGGGGGTAGGGACATCCTACTACTCCAGTTCTTGAACGACGAAAAGGCTGGAAACGAACTAAACGACCACCTGGACCAAACGAACAGAACCCCCGGCGTCGGAGGAGAGCATGAAGTTCCCTAACCCGATCCCCAGGGGCCATGACCCGGAAAAAGAAGGCCTTTCAAAAGCAATCCCGAATCGAAGGGGGCCACAACAAAATGAGAAGAAGAAAGAAATGAAATAATCCTGTCCAAAGACCAAGAAGGCTCGGGCGGTGCATGAGAAGGCCATAGGTGAACGGAAGTAACATTCACCCAAACGCAAGCTGGAGTGGCTAAGCCAACGCCACGCGATAAGAAGCGACAATATTAGGCACGAGATGCTGATCCAGAAAAAGCCAATGGAGGAAGGACAAAACAACCTGGTCTGAAATCGACAAAAAACTTTGAAGATAAAGAAAGACGGAAAGACCACCAAGAAACTTCATACTGTCGCTGGGAAGAAGGCGGCAGGTGGGGCACCATCAAAGAAGACACCTGATCACCATATAAATTGCGATACACACACACGCATTAGAAAGACCAGATGCGTAGAGCAGAGCAGTAAGGCGAACCAGCGAGGTACCTCACTAGCCCAATTTGCTGGAAGAGGGAAGCCGCAAAAAAACGCCCAGGATCAGACACCGACCAAGCAGTACCTGAAACCAAGGCTGGCCACAATGGAGCTAGAAGAATCACACTTCCCCGATAGGATTCCAAGCAAGCTAAGACCTGGAGCAACAGCTGGACCGGGGAAAAGAGGTACAGGAAACCTCATCTCTACCAGTCCTGCTGAAAAGCATAATCTACCGTGACGGCCTCACAGTCGGGGAATGCCGCCATGTACAATGGGAGATGCAAAGACCACGCTGATGCAAAGAGGTCAGCCTCCGCTCGCCTGTATGTCCGTCAAAACCAAAGGAAGGAGGCAGAATCAAAACAGAGTGGTCTGTTTCGATACACCTACCTTTCTGGGTCCTTCCCTGGTCGATGGCAATTATGACATACTGTACTTTAAATGTAAAGTGCTCATAAGCCATTGCTCCCTGTACCTCTCTGAGGGGACCAGGTTCTGGCTCGTGGGTCCCGGTAGGCATAAGAACCCCTGTGACTGACGACCCCAAACTAATATAGCACAAATCAGTTCAGATAGCTTCAGGGAGCTGACGGGGCTCCCCACAGAAAAGGTTGGGAAACACTGGCTAGACATAAGAGGAAGAAGAAATGCTACATTTGTGTTGAAAAGTTGAAGTAAATATTTTTAGAGTTCATTGTTCAGTGGCTTCAATTTCAATGAGATAGATCAAGCAGTTTACAAGAATCAATATGAGATTCAACAAAATTATGTACAAAATTCACTTTTATTAGTTTTATGTTATTGAAAGGGGGCCTCCTTAGCAGTTCCCTTGAGTTTACACCCTGGTATAGCCAATCCTAATAAAATAATATTGTTTATGGAATTGTTTTTCATTTACATTTATTTGAACTGCAAATTTCAATCTATGGCAAATTTTCTTATTCAGTAGATGCTACTGTATTTTTAATGCACTCTAAGTTGCCCAATTGCAATTCTTGTGGTATACAATATTACACTGGAATGGGTCCAGTTCTAGTGGGAATCCTACTGTACTTGATGGGTCTATGTAACAAAGTATTGACATTTACTGTAATGAAAAGGACTTTGGATTTTCAGAATGAAGATTAAGAATTAGCGCCCATAATAAAGAAGTGCACAATACAGTATCATTCTCCCATTAAGATTCATTGAACAAAAAAAAAAAAAGCATCATCATTGCAGCTCAAAAAGCACATCAAGAATGTGTTGTTGTTCTTCCTTGGCATATTATTCTTAGGGGGTTTTCAAGCTTTCCAGGAAAAGGAAGAGTAAATGGTAAACAGACTTAAAGTTTAGAAACCAAAAATACTTAAAAATTTTGTCTTCTATTGTTTAAATTGGAAATGCTAATACTGTACTTCTTTGACAGACATTTGAAAAGGCAATACTGTACTGTATGTGAATTTTTGCTGACCTTGCCAAGGGAATCCAGAACCAAAAATCATCCTTTATCGATATAGTACATTGAATACAGTACTGTACTTTTAAATGCAACACTCGTCTAATAATAATAATAATAATAATAATAATAATAATAATAATAATAATAATAATAATAATAATAATAATTTATTCACAAGAAGGTACAATGAGTTGGTGAGATTATATAAAATTGGTATTTGTACATTCTTGCAAAGTCAATTACATGCTTAGTGTATCGGGCAGCATCTGACTGACAAACTGTAGAGAGTTCAATTGTTGTTGTAATCCAACACAACTGACATTCTCAATCGATCCATTCACAGCTGATGAGTACAAGTAAACACAGAGGATGCCACAGTTGACTAACAAATCTGAATATAAACAAAGAACATGCTGTCATATTTAGGAGGTATATGTTATCTACGTACAATACTGTATCAAAGAAAACAACCAAGTACTCCATTTGTGTAACTGCACCTAATACTTCACAAAGGAATTCTAACTATGCCTTTAAAGAGCAACGTAATAAGGACATCAACATGAGGAATGAGCATCTTGTGGCAATCCAAAAGGGAATTTCTAGCAACTCATATCTAACAAAGAATACTACTGTATTACTTTTGTCTCTAATATAAATTATGATGTTAATTTGACAACTTGATAGTTGTTATAATCATTACCCATATATGTACTGTAGTCCAGTAACTGATACTTCCTCTGGGATATGGAAGTTGGCAAATACAATTTCTACATCACACTTGCTAAGATGGTAACACAATGTTTAAATAGAAATAATAAATTTCAAAATACAATATATATTATGAAACTATAAAAAATATGCATTACATTTAATAAAAATCTAATAACTTACAGAAGTTTGGGTTGTTGGGGCAACCCAAACCAGCTACAAGGGGTCACACAACTGACCTGTTGACCAGATCACACACTAGGAGGTGAAGGGACGATGACGTTTCAGTCCATCCTGGACCATTCTCAAGTCGATTGTGAATGGTCCAGGATGGACGGAAACGTCTTCGTCCCTTCACCTTCTAGTGTGTGGTCTGGTCAACATTCTTCAGCCACGTTATTGTGACTCACCGCCTGCACAACTGACCTTGACAACTACACTGTAAATGACGATAATACATCACTGCTGAAGCCGAGTCCCTCACCAAACTGCACAAAACACCATGACTAAACAGCATCGAGATTTTCTTGAATCATTCACAAAATCTTAAACTTTTTTAACTGTCTTTATCATAAACATTACAAGCAGGAACCTTCAATAAATACACAGTTGGTTTCACCAAATCTACTCGTAGTAGAGAAAACAGTCTAGTTTGACACACTTCCCTAGCAACTTGTTCCACAATATTAGATCATTGAAGAATAAAACTTATATTGTCACTCCAGTTTTAAATCTGAGAACAAGAAGCAACAGGTCATTGTTTCCATCGATAAACAATCAAAGATTTTTTTACACATACAGATTTTGAGTTATACTTGGGGAAAAAAACATATTATGCACAATAAATAAATAAATATATATATATATATATATATATATATATATATATATATATATATATATATATATATATATATATATATATATATATATATATATATATATATATATATATATATATATATATATATATATATATATATTATACTATATATTTGCCTATAAGCCAAGTTTTCCTGATATATAATATATATATATTGCTATAACCTAACTAACCTATCTTATTGCTCACTCCTTAAAACAAATACTGTAGCTATAATATGAAGCAATATAGCATATTAAAATAATGAGTGTGCATGGTAGGTATTTTGTAATTGGCAAGATGTAAGAGTATAAATATTAGAACTACAGAATGTCTCCTCAAAAGTGATATTATCAAACTACAAATACTGTAACAGCTTCATATTTCTACGACCTATCAAAGGCACACTATACATATCAAACACTTGTTTACATAAGATGAACAGCATGTAAATACTGACACCATAACAGATGTAGTCAATACAGCATTGTACAGTATTCCTAGCAATATCTGCTGCAACATAGATATAGAGAATCTAGTACTGTATTGCCAGTCTGGCATTTGCCATAACACAGATTTGGGAGAAACATTGTATTGCCACTCATATATTCAAGTAATAACAACATAATGGTGAGAACTTTGTTTTTCTTTACTTTCACTTTTGCATAATCAATTAAGGCTTCCCCATTACCTATATTATTTCCTTCCTATTCTAAAATCCTGATTCCATAACACCAGACATCTAATGTACATCTAAGAACAAGCAGGATTTTTTGGAAGACAATAGAGTAATCACTTTAAAATTACAAATATAGATAAAGCTCAAATTAAGCACCCTAGGATGCATTTTTTACTAGTTCCAGATATGTTTATTAAACACTATTTTTTTATTAGTATTACCAGTAAAGTATGACTGCTTGCACAGACAACCAGAACTGTAACAAACATACAGGCATTTCCACGAGATTTATATACAGTACATATATTTTTTGGAGGGGAGAGCGGGGCTCCTTACTAAAGTTACCCTACCGTGAAATATTGCTAAAGATTATATATATTCAATACTAAAAGCTAAGAACATTATATGACAGGTCATTCTGCATTGTAAATCTTTTCAAATTAAAATTTAAGAAGCTTCAATAAAAATTATTTTGTTAAAGCACTTCAATGGCTCTTCATAATCAAATAAATATTTGAATTAAGAGGACAACAGACTCTTAACAATCAATAAACCTCAACAAAAATAGTAACAATTATGGAACTTTTTGTCTCATCTGAACATATTTTAACCAGTTCATTCCAATATCAAGTCCCATGGGTACACCAGTGGAATTTGATTTTTACATGTACTAAATGTTCAGTTACCTGTTAGATCCGCATAATTTTGACAGATCACAGTTTTCAAATTCCTAAAACTTTTTCGTGTATAAATACTATTTTAAATATGAAACATGTTAAATATTCCACAAAAAATGTAATTGAAAAAGAAACACAACAAAAGTATTTAAAATACTGTACACAAAATTCACACATCCAGAACTCACTTCGCCTCAAGCATTCAAAATGTTCAATGCTCTACTGCATAATAATTCTTATGCGTTGATTTTAGGCTCTACTGCTAAGTTTCCAAGAAATAAAATAAATTTTTTGTAATCAGAGATTCATAAAAGGATTTGTGAGAGATCATTACCTTAAAAACATAACTGATTCAAATACTGTAATGGTAATTATGTTGTACCCCTTGCTGGAGAAACCTAGCCTCAATAACTAAAAGACCCCTCCAAATTGCACACATCACATTCTTATACAAAAATGAAGGCAAAGATTGAAGATGAACAAACTATTACTACAATCAAAGAAACAAAATCCATGCATCTGCCACGAGTGTGAAGTTCACTAAACAAAGCTAGAGCCAAGAGAAATACAGCCTTGAAAACAGAATCCTCAATCCAAGGAAAAACCCAGAGAGCCTGAAAAACAAAAATGCAAAGATCCAGAACAACTACCAAGAAGGTTCCAGAGCATGAGCTGGGCAGAAGCGAAAGAATGTCCAAGACAGCCAGAGAGAGAGCGGGGAAAGCAGATACATTCACTTCCAATTGCAGAAAGATGAGACCTCATCTTTCCAGAATGTAGCTCGATTTGTTTGACTATCTATCGTCATTTGTGTCCAGTGGAAACTTTGTGCTATTATCTCTGGGCACCTTGAAACTCATCTTCTGATTCTCTGTTCCTTATCCAGTGTACAATGGTGCCTTCTATTAAAGCTCGATTATCCCCGTCCCCATGATCCAATGAAATTTGTTATCCTGCCTACCCAGATCTGGGAAATATTGAAATGGAATTGAGGTCCTTTACAGCTTCTTAAGATGGCATGCATCTCATGAAGCATTAATTGGTGTAAAATATCATGCCAAGTAATATCATCCTTCACACCATCTTTGACTAGGAGGATGGAAATGGTGAGGCAGAAGTCTCAAGTATCTGAGGGTACATTGGAGTTTCATACAAATGGAAGAAAATAAAAAATCAGGCATGAACTGATAACTGTAGGTGGTCTGGGGTAATAACCAAGTAAGCCAATTAGCAGTCTGTAGAGTGATACTCTTGTAAAGCCATTTACCATTTGGGGGAGGGGTAATGAGTATAGATAAATGAGCTTTCTGGAGGTCATTCAAGGCTAAACAGAGTATTATTTAGTGTCTCCTTTCCCTACTGTGACCTGGGGAGGATGTTTGATAAGATCCAGTCATATTGAGGAGTAAAAGTTGACAAGAGGGATTGAATTTTTAACAAATCCAAGTTACAAGAACACCGACAGGACATATGATGAAATTTTGTGTAGTGTGACCACCACACTGCCCCTTGCCATCCCCCTCCAAAATGTACCTTTGCTTGAGATGCAGTTGCAATGAATATAGAATCATAAAAGACAAAATGGAGCGGTATCAAATTTTGCGGCAGAATTTGCAGCAACTATAATCCTGTTAGAGAGAACATATACAGTATGTACATATCAAAACTTCTTTGACTGTTCTAATGATCCACTTATTGGTTGAACAGAACACATAGTTGCTGACAATGCTATAGTGGAACATCTGCTGTTTCATTAAAACAGTTTTCCTGTGATTGGAATTTAATTTTTCCCAGCATGAATGAAACTGTTATTTTAGAGTGGGGGAGGGGGTGGAGGGGTGGGATAGGTGATATGTAAAGCCCTGTGTGGAACCAAAGCCATGTGTTTTGCCTGTAATACGGGCAGTTCCCTTAGAACAAATGAGTTACATTCTAAGAATGTGTTCATAAGACATTTGTTCAAAATGCAAAGCGAGATTCTCCATAGGTTGATTTTATTTACCTTGAATGATGAAGTTATCCTACTTGTCAACGTTGGCTGTTTTTGAAGAGTGAAGATATCTAGTTGCTGGAGAAGATCGCAAAAGATGGTAATGCATCGGTTGCATCGAGTGGCGATGCATCACCTGAAGAGGGTGGTATGTCATTTTCAGTGTCAATGGCTACATTTTATCTAGGTAATGGGTTGGTGGCCTTGCCACTCACTCTTGCGTTGTGTAAATCTGTCCTACCCTTATATCTATTAAACCACCCATAACTGGCCACAAATGTCTCATCACTTACAGTTTCACCTAATTTCTTCTATAAATCATCAAAAAGACTTCTTGCTTTCTCCTGTACGGGCATCAGGCTGATTGGGTTTCAGTAACAATTCCAGTCCTCAATCCACAATTTTAACAACTTTTCAATATCACAAATTAAATGTGATCTTTTTCTTAATGTTGTTGGTTTCAGTGGTGCAGAACCCTTTACATGCTTTAAAATTTGTGTTTTGTCTTTTAAGATGGTCCCAATTGTTGAGCAATTCATGCCGTAAACATTTACAGTGTGTTGTTTTTTCATCCCTCTCAGGACATTTAATAATGTTTTGCTTCATCTCTAGGGTAACGGGTCGTGTTTTTCTTGGCACTTGTGCATCATCAACACTCTTCCTCTTCATATCAGCCTTTGTTAATGGTATTTTCCTTAGTAAAGTCCAAAGAAAGCACAGCACTGCCAAGTCTTGGTACAAGAAAACTGTTGACTGAGGCAGTATGGGTCTAATACAGATGAAAGTCACAAAGTATACACGATGGTTTGTCAACACATTTTGAAAATTCCCTAACCTGATCTTACCCAAGAAAACCAAATTTAACCCAACTGAACCTAACACAGCATATTCTAAGCTAATACATCCTAACCAAATTATATATACAGTGTTGACAATTTGAAAATAAGCTTGTGCGTGATTTAACCATACTCCACCTTTCCTTGTGGGCCATTCAGATGTTTTTGTACAGTACTTTATGTAGTTACCGCGTGGATATTTTAGTGCATTACTAGTAATACTGTACTGGGAATGCACCAGCGGGTTTGGCTAGTGATTTGATACATGATGGGAAACTTGAGGGGATGTTTGGATGAACGAGTGTTTGAATAACAGGTGTTCATATATCAAGGACATCTTGTACAGCAAAGTGCATTAGCATAATCTCTTAGCAAGTGTTTAGTTGCTGAATGAAGTTCAGCTAAGTGCAACCTCATTATCTATACCTCAAATCAAATTCTTTGGGCATCCCTCTATCACACTGATATAACATTAACCCTGCAACTGTGCCTCGCAACCAGAGTTGTTTCATTGATTGTGCACACAACAACTAGGGTTGTTTTAAGCCTATCATAAAATGTAAAATTCTAATGCATACATTAAGCTGACATTTGCTTCCTCGCACCTCCAGTAACCATCCCCAATCCTAAAAAAAAAATCCTGAGTCCCTCGCTATCCTTCTAAGGCCTTAGTAGAAAGATAAGGACCATGTCTGACACATCACCATCCAGTGTCTGAATGTGCTGGGCAGCAATACCTTTCCACTGGACAATTTCAGCATCGTAGAGAGAGGGGGGACCTGCTGCATGGGTAACAGCTTCTCCTCCATATCGACCTACCCTGGCTTTGCACCCTGGAGAGGACACTTCAGCTTCGACAACCCGAGCGCAACTTCATAGTCTCCCGAGACTGCAGGATGCCTACTACTACTCACTTACAGGCAAACTGTGTGTGATGTGCCAATATAAGATTCTGGTTTATAAATACAAATACAGTATATGATGTATTTGCTGGTGCATAAGGCATACTTTTTTTTTAATTTTAAACGTATAAAAAAAATTGCCCTGCGTCTAATGCAGCCGTATTATGGCTGTGAAACCAAGCACTTGAAGCTAGGGAGCCAGACAAGCGTACTGGGTTAGTTCGCTAGGCACAAAAATCATTGCTAATAATAAAATATTGAAAACAAGCCAAACTATTACAGTAAATTGTGTTACTAATAAAAAAAATATTGAAAACAAGCCGAGTCATCACAGTCTGTTATCACAAACTTTCGAAAAATTGCTTACGATACGTCGGCAGTTATGAAGGAAGCTCATATCATCTCACCACCTTACCCAGTATACATAAGCCACACCTGATATATGCCATACATTATTTAACGATACGATTATTTCTAAGATACATTTATTCATTATCTAAATGAAAAATACTCCTAGAAATTTGAAAGGAATGTTAAACTTTCATCCGCCTGTCAGTCAATTGCAATGCTTGAATAACAACAAAACCAGAGCGCTGTGATGGTGCGCCACCACCGGGTGTGCCGCCCTGTTGGCCTGATGCGGCGACACAAAACATCACATCCAGAAATACAAGTTTCACATCCTGTATAGCAATTCTTTTGCCCAAAATATAAAAAACTATACAGCTGATCTTAAAGGAGGAAAGAGTTGGGGTACAAAATCCACTTTAAAATATCTTTCAATAAATGTATGATGAAATGTACTAGAATGTTTTTTTTCCACAAAATATCCTTGTAAATTAGGGGGTGTTCTATGCGGAGGTGTGCCTTTTATGCCGGCAAATACGGTGTATGTAAATTAGTATGAATAAATACATGGTGCGCATATATTTATATACATATATATGTTCATATGTATATTTTAAAGTTATACATAATGAACACCACTACTGACAGATCCATATATCTTGTTAGAATGAAAAAGTAAATTAATAAAGTGAGAAAGAATGAAAATAAACTGACAAAGTTATTCCTGAGCGGCACCTCACCTTATTTTTACTGGAAAAAAAAGCAACTTCTCCAGGCAACTGCAGCTAAACCACAAGAGATAAGAGACTTTTTACTTGGATTTTTGTGGCTTCTTGATGATAATTAACAATGTCAAATTAACAAAAAAAAAATCAGAACAATTTCTTTTATGTGCTCAAGAGAAGTCTTACACAACAGGTGTGTAGTGTAGGAGCTAATGTATAAATGCTCATGATATTAAATCTCAAAATGGTTATTATTTTCACTGTCACCATAAAATTCTTCTATGCAGATTCTGGATTAACTTTAGGAAGCAGTTTAGTTACACAGGAAACAGTAATGAGCATAGCCATACAGAGTAGTTAACAGATGGAATGCATTAGGCAGTAATGTGGTGGAGGCTGACTCCATACACAGTTTCAGATGTAGATATGATAGAGCCCAGTAGGCTCAGGAATCTGTACACCAGTTGACTGACAATTGAGAGGAGGAACCAAAGAGCCAGAGCTCATCCCCCGCAAGCACAACTAGGTGAGTACAGTATCACCAAATATATTCTTTATAATACTAAATATAACTGTCATTTACCTACTTCTCTCCTCTTTTGTGGAGTGACTGCAGCTATTACAAAAGAGTTGACTAATGATCTGCAATTAAACAGAACTCTTGACAGAACAGGTGAAGCTTACCAACATTCAACCCAGAAAGATCTAAATCAATAGACTGTACAAAGAATTGATCAGTTTTAGTTTATCAAGAGCCTTGAGGTTACAAAAATCAAAACTCATTCAGAAATAGACTGCATATCCTAAGCTAACAATTCCTGTGTTTAGCCATGTAAATGCACTAAAATATTTAATTATTTAATATACCTTTTATGAAAATATATACACCCTGTAACAACACACTTGGTGCAATAACAAGAAAGTTTACTGTACATGTATTTATAGTTTAAGTGATTATCAACAGTTTATGCCGTGTTTATATTCGTCTCAAATTAATTAAAAAGTTTCGCTACAGCAAAACAAGATAAATTTATGTACAGTCTATCTCAAAAATCATAATTTTATGCCTTATGTACAATTAACCTATAGAGTATATAAAAGTATATTTTGCTAGAAAAGTTACATTGGGCAATATCAGAAGCCACGTAGGAATACATCATCAGGTATCAGTGCATTACACAAAACAAGCTCTCTCCTTTCAGACTCATTTGGCACGAAGTATGAAAGGCAAGGCACTAAACAACATTATGGATGGACAATGTCTCATATGGGTTTTTTACCAATTGTACAAAGTTTTCTTTGTTGCTCCACAAGTATGAAGGTAAGTTTTCTTTCCGTGGAAGCTCAGCTTGTCCTACAGGATCAAGATTTTCATCTTGCCCAAACTTTATTAGACGCTGAATAAAAGGCAGCATGTTGGAAGAAGACTCTGTGAACCATTTAGGCCGAAGGTTTTGTGGGTAGTCCATGAATTTATTGAAAATATTTTGAACAGAAAGACATAAATGACATCTCCATCCAGCTTTTGAAATTGTCCATTCAGCAACTGGTTGTTCATTGGTGGTAAAAAAATTCAGATCTTCTTCTAGAATTTTTCCTGTTCGTAGCCGAGGCACCTGATATTCAAAGGCATTGGCTAAGAACTGGAAAGATACTGCACAAGTTTGTGGTCTTGTAATATTCGAGTCACCTACTATCCATTGCCAGTAAAACCCATAAAGATAATTCCTATACTGACACATAACTGGCAATGGATATCCTTGGAAAAGTTTTAAAAAGCCAACTATATCACGATTAAGGATCTCTTCACCAGAGGTCAGAATGAGCAGGTCATCTGGGCGGACATCGCTCACTAACCGTAGACCAGAATGAACAAGATTTTGCATAAAGGAACCATTTTTTAAATCTTTATCATGGACAGGTACATATATAATCTTGCTTTGAAAATCTTTAAGCCAGCCATCTTTTAGTTTATTAAAGAGAGAGAGAGAATTCTTTGTATAACACAATGTGCAGTTAGCTTCTCCAATAACAAACACATCTACAAGCTCATGAAGCTCTTTTACATTTATCTCAAAAATATCAAATTCATAAGAAAATGATGTCACCAAAATTACTCGCCGCACTCTCTTTTTCAGCTGTAAGTTTTTTGAGAGCTCTGGATTTTGCATCCACTCAGTTCTCTGTATTATTCCAGGAAGCCCACACCTTCGCCCTGACCAACCAGTTTTACACACACAATTACCTTCAGAGCTCTTTTCTGCCAGTGTCCCTGCTTTTACACATATGTCTTTACCAAAGAGATAATAATAATTGGACATCTGTTGATCTGTTAAGTGCAAAATGCTCTGCCCACCTTCATTCAACAAGCGCCTGAGGAACTCCTTCGATGGATCAAGGTGACGTGAGAAGAACCAAATTCCCACAAAAATCTGAAAAATCAAATAAAATAAAAATCTTGTGTTAATTTCTGTATTACAATCTACCTACAGTGAAATAGACAATTACAACAATAAATACAGGTATACAAGTATATTAACACTTTTGGTGGCTCGGCGGGCGACCTGCTGCCCACCACAAGGTAGCCTGAGCATTGCCCATGAGCTCAACTCACCACTCCAATGTTTATTCTCTTTTCAGCTTTCTCACTTCAATTTTCGTACTACATCATTTAATTTGGTATCAATTTGTTCGCAATATAATGTTGTACAGGAATATTTGCATATAAGAACATATAAGTCTCACTTTTCTATACTTTAGATGAACACTCAATAACTTAATTATAATTAATATAATTAATTATATTATTTATAATTGAAGTACAGTAATTATTAAGGTAAATTTTTTAGCCAGTATATCACTTAAATAAACAATTTTTAAACCAGTAAAGCACTTAGATAAGCAATTTTTTAAGGGTAAGCAAGTATTAAGTGACAACTGAAAAGTAGTATATGCAATAAAGATCATATGTGAGACAAGGCTGTCAGAACAATAAGGGTCACAGTCAACTTACTGTGGCCAATACACAAGTGAGCTAAGATTTCCATTTTCAATTGTAATAATATGAAGAAGGAAAAGATGAAATGTCATGTTTGCCAGTACTGCATGAAGTTTGGTATTGGCTACGGGTGCGCACGTTCACCCTGCACCTCCCAGTAGTTTGGGAAGGGGAGAAGGGGGAAGGGAAGAAGGGGGCCAGGGCTCACGTATCCACTGCCTCGAGCCATCAATTTTGGAGTAGATGCACACACAACCTTTCCCAACCGATGAGATGGAAGGGAGGGGGAGGAATGAGGGAATCACTGGGGCTCACCCAGAAATTAGCATTTAATTACACTCAATGCTGGTTTTCTGGAGGGAAGCCCCTTGTGGCTTCCTGATGCTAACTACCCATGGAAAAGGAAAACAGTGACAAACCAGAGAGAAGGAAACCAAGGAAGCAGAATTTACCAACAAAGCACATCCACTGAGGCAGACTTGGTGGCATAAAGGTAGCAGCCAAAAGCCCCACCAGGCACAGCAGCAACAATGCAAGGACCCCGCTCCAAAAGCTGGCCAGCTCGTTCTTTGCAAGATGAGGAGCCAGCTGCTGATAAACAAAAAAATAAAAACCTGCCTCTGGAGGAGCATAAAGTTTACCAACCATACAATTAGAGGTCAGGGCCAACACAAACAGAACTACCTAAATGAATCCCTGACCAAAGGGGACACTGTAAAACTGAATGGGTCCCAAGAAAGTCAGTGGTAAGGTTCAACCTAAGAAAACACATGTGAGGATGACCACAGAGGAAAACAAGAGATCATTCGTAAACATTAAAATGGTATAAGGGTTGTTGATGTAGAGGATGTCCCTTCCTCATTTACAATGAAAATGTGTGCAGCATGGGAAGAACTGCAAACTTTTGCTGAAACGACTCGCCCAAATCAAGCTGCAGTAGACCGTTGCCTTAACCTTTTCAATGACACTGTGATGCATCACTACAGACAAACATTGAAAAAATTTGAAAAAAGAAAGTGTTTAAAAGGTTCGTTCAGTGGATGTTAGGTAGACTGCTCCATTTTATATAAAAAAATAAAAAAAAATAAAAAAATAAAAAATGAAATATTTGAAAAAAGAAAAAGTGTCTAAAAGGTTCGTTCAGTGAATGTCAGGTAGGCTGCTCTATTTTCTATGGAAAATAAAAAAAAAAAAAAAAAAAAAAAAAAAAAAAAAAAAAAAAAAAAAAATTGAAAAAACCACAGTTGAATGTAATGGAATGCCATTTTCTGGGCGAGTCCCGGAGGCTCCCTGGAGCTATCCATGGCTGATATGGATACCTTGAGGTTACCTTGAGGTTACCTTGAGGTGCTTCCGGGGCTTAGCGTCCCCGCGGCCCGGTCGTCCACCAGGCCTCCTGGTTGCCGGACTGATCAACCAGGCTGTTGGACGCGGCTGCTCGCAGCCTGACGTACGAGTCACAGCCTGGTTGATCAGGTATCCTTTGGATACCCTAGCTATTTTGCACCAGTCGATGTAGGTGGAGTTCTAGGCCTACCGGGGACCACGAGCCAGAACCTGGCCCCCTCAGAGAGGCACGGGGAGCAATGGCCCATAGAAATGCACATATGATTTGGAGCATTCTATATCTGCCATCAACTGGGACAGGCACCCAGAAAGGTAAGCGCCACAAAACAAACCCCTATTCTGGTTAACAACAAAAATCATTAAACGAGTGGGCAAAACTCCCCAAAGAAAAAACGAGGAAACAAGCATGATGTCACACGAGCCGCGCCGCATGTCTGTGCAGTTCCCCACCTCCCCAGGAGGGGGGAAGGGGGAGCCCCAGACCCTTGCACCGGTGATCCTCGCCCCAGTTCTGAGGCTGGATATAAAAAACCACGAAAAACCGCCGACCGGAGGGAGGGAGGGTTGCCAGGGAGCCTCTGAGACTCAACCAAAAAATGGCATTTCATTACATTCAATGCAGGTTTTCTGGGGGATCCCCTACGGCTCCCCGGAGCTACTTCACCAAAGACTACAAAAGAAAAAGGAGACCTACCTGGGAGGTGGTCGGTGCTCCACTCCTCAACTTGAAGTCGAGACAATGGGCTGCAATCGCTGACCCAAAGCAATGCAGGCTCGACTGGACCCAGGAATGTTCACAAGGTAGCGTGCCGCCAGGATCCTGTTCAACCGCCAAAAGCCCCGTGCCCGAATATCAGCCCAAGACAAATTGCCAAAGACGGCAGCAAGAGCAGCAAACTTACGAACATCATGGGCACGGGGATAGACCGCAGGCTGGCTTGATTTAATAACCCTGCGGACGACCTGAGAGACCCGAATCCGCAAACAGGGAAGAAGGGAAACCGGATCAACCCAAAGCGCGTCCCCAGACACAGAAGCCGTGGCGCGCAGTTAACGGTGGAGGGCCGCAACCGGATACAACACATGGTGAACCCCCGGCCTGAAAAACCAAGCATCAACAACCCCAAAGACACCTCTGGAAAGCAGCAGTCTCATTCTTCGCCAGAAAAGAGGGAGACGGCTGCAGACGAACATACCTATGATCCCGACGAAAGGAGCAAAAACCTCTGCGCCTGAGAAGAGCATGAAGCTCCGCAAGAAGATCCCCAGAGGCCAATGCCAATAGAAAATAAAGAGCCTTAGCAAAGCAATCCGGAACCGAAGGGGCCACAACAAACCGAGGAGAAGAAAGATAGGAGAGCACTCTGTCCAAAGACCAGGACGGCTCAGGCGACGCATGAGCAGGCCGGAGGTAAAACAATGCACGAGACAGATTGCGAAGCGGTGCAGAAGTAACATCGATACCGAAAACAAGCTACAACAGCTCCGCCAGCGCCACACGATACGAGGCAACAGTATTAGGCATAAGATGATGGTCCTGGAACAATCAAGAGAGAAAGGACAACACCACCCGAACTGAAAGCGAAGAACAACGACGAAGGGACAAAAAGAATCGGAAGGACTGCCAGAAAACTTCATGCTGCTGCCGAGAGGAAGCCTGCAAGTGGGAAACCAACAAGGTCTTGTGTGTGGATTGGAAACCAACCCACCTGATCACCATAGAGATGGTGATAAACACGAGTCAAAAACACCAAACGCGATGACTCGCAGAGAAGAGCAAACCAGTCTTGTACAGGACCGGGCCGATCTCCTGAAAGAGGCGGAGCAGCGGAAAAACCTCCAGGTTCGGACACTGGGCAAGCAGCACCTAAAACCATGGCTGGGCAGGCCACCAAGGGGCCAAGAGAACTACTCGCCCCTGGTAAGTCTCCAAGCGAGCAAGGACCTGGAGCAACAGCTGAACCGGGAAGAAAGAGGCACAGGAACCCCCACCTCGATCAGTCCTGCCGAAAGGCGTTGATCCCGACAGCCTCGCAGTCGGGGAAGGGCGCCACATAAACTGGAAGACACCTCGACCACACCGACGTGAAGAGGTCCACCTTCGGGTGCCCGAACATCCGGAAGAGCTAACTGAAGGAGTCGGCGTCGACCATCCATTCTGTGGAGAGGGGGAACGAACCTGGACAGGCCGTCCACCAGGATGTTGGACACCCCCCCGGACGTGAACTGCCAGGAGAGCCAAGGACCGCATCGAACCCCCCTCGGTTCAAGCAATGAACCACCAGGGGAGCAGTCCGAATGGACCCGGATCGTCGATCCGCGGGCAAGCCGAACCCTCCGAAGCGTAAACCACACTGCTGCGAACTCCCACACCGCGCTGTGGACCTGACGGAAGGACGGACCCCACCGCCCCTGGTTGGCCTGGTGAGCACTGGTCACAAAGCCCCAGCCAAGAGACGACACATCCGTGAACACATCGAGCGAGGGCTCGGGAAGGCACCAAGGCATCAAACCCCCCAAAAAAACGAAAAGGAAGACGGCGACGCAGCAGCTGGCATAAAGCCCCCAGAGAGGCAGAAGGGATGTCCCTGAAGGAACCAGAACAGCCGACGAAGCCAAACCCGACCCGGCAGGTAGACCAACATCACGAAGTTCAGGCTCCCGCACAGACCCTCGAGCAACCGCCGGGTGACCCGAGAGCCCCCCAGAAACAGACACAGGCGAGACCGCAGCCAAAGGAGAGACTCCAGAGGAAGAGACAAGGAAGTGGTCCGAGAGTCACACACAAGACCCAGCCAGGACCGAACCTGGGAGGAAACCAGACGGGACTTCCGCCAGTTCACCTGGAACCCAATTATGGCGAGCAGGGAAAGTACCAAATCCCTGGTGAGCAGACACGCAGACCGACTGGGAGCCCAAACCAGTAAGTCGTCGAGGTAAGCCAACACCCCGAACACCTAACAGACGCAGGCGGGCTACCACGACCCGGGTAAGGTGTGTGAACATGCGAGATGCTAGATTCAACCCAAAAGGGAGACAACGAAAGCGGTAGCACTGACGCCCCACAATAAAACCGAGCCAGTCCCT